TGTATAACAAGATTTACTGCTGAATTTCTATAGTGGATTCAATACATGAACAGACATTTGTTTTGAATAGGTGCTTTGTTGCTCCCGAAATAAAGTTGCCATTTAAAAAAATTAAAGTGACAGCTATCTTCCTCCTCTAGTTCTTTAGCATTGTGTTAATTATCTGTAATTGTACCCTTATTAAATTTATTCTCCCATTTTTAGTTGTAAAGTCTCTTTTGTTCAGTATTTGCACAAACCATTCCTGCTTCTGTTATCACCCAAGGTTTTGACATCTATTTTTTAGCTTCATGAATGTCAGTAAAAATATCAGATTCATGAGATCTTCCTTATTGTTATTCATGCTGATAAATCAGACTAATATTTTTAAGAAAATAACAAGTCTACCACAAATGCTGAAAAGCTTTGATTTCTCATTTATGTTTGCAGCATAGAATATCATTCGTGCCTCTAAGTTTTGGTACAGTATACAACAAACAGTAGCTTAAGAGAACTGTTAATTGGGTATGTAAAAATGTAATCTCCAAATGTTTTCAGATGTCAAAACTTGAATTTTGCTTTTTCACAGCAATGTTCTAGAGGTATGAGTTTGACAGTTTCCCCACATTTCCTCTCTAACCTGCCAGTAACTACAGGTTATCTGCATGTAATGTCATGGAAGCATGTATTAATCAGTTGGATTTCTACCAGATATTAGTGTCTTCATGGACAGTTACCTGTGAGCATGGGAAAACTTGGAAATATTTGCACATTTATTACAGCTTATCAGAGTAAGAAAGCATGGTTATTTTAAGATGCAAGCACATGTAGCAGATGCAACTCAAGAAAATGAGCTGGTACATATGAAATATAAGCAGAATACTAGTACATCAAAAAGAAAAGTTTATTATTATTATTATTATTATTATTGCTGTACTCATTAGTATGAAGCTTTAAATTTACTTCCAAGTCTCCCCATGCTCCTCTACATATCAGCCTTCAAATGCCCTTCAAAAGATGTTTTGTTCTGGTTAAAACCCTTTGCACAAAGAAATCCCACATACATGGAATTGTGTGAGTTCCATCTGAACTGTTACACAGAAGGCAAAACAGAAATAGCAAGCATCAAGGTGTCACATAAGATACTTTTCAGTAGTCAAGACAAGGAATTCAACTGCAAGGATAGTTGCTGGTTACCATATCAGTGGCTCTGAAGATTTGCTGCAAAATTCTTCCATAAAAATCTTTCCCACATATTTTTTTAAAATAAGCACATCAGTGTGATTTAACAGCCAAACAAATGACAAAGCGAAGGATAAAAACAGCACCTGCACATTTAAACATTTAGATTCATGTACAAATAGGTTAATATTTTATCCTTCTATTGCAGGTCAGCTGTATTAATGCTACTTACTTGGAGTGGTAGAAGCAAATCCTTTTCTCCCAGGTTTCTTTTCAGAGACAGGATCCACAAGAATCCTACCTGATGGAAACAGATATGGGAGAAAACTTAAAAATTATTGGGCAACAATAGTGCTACAATTTCAAACTGTTCTTAATACTTTCATATTTCTTAAGTTAAGCAGGACAAATTTAGCTATTCAAGTTTCCATCAGATAATCTTTCATATGAGTGTAATGTTTGCTAAGGCTTTCTACTAACGACTTTGTGCAATGGCGATTTTGTTGAGCATGCTGATGACAAAGAGGAAAGTAAAAGTGGTACATTAAAGGTCCTCTCACATTAGACCCTTCACAAGACTGCACACTGCTGCTCCTGAATCTTACTGTCTACAAACTATTGTTCAGCTCCCAAGAATCCTAGATTTTACTGAGTGTGAAAATATAGACAACAGCTTGCCCCCCACACTGTACTGAACTAGTACAAAACAAGCATTTTACTTAAAAGTACAAGTTACTTTACCTCCTTTTCTTCTGGTTTTTTTCTCTTTCTGTTGATCTTCAGTATCTGAGTTATCTGCTAAATTTTCTACAGTTCCACTGTTCAACAGACACTTGTTTTGGCTGGTCTTCAGCATTTTTCTGGACTCAACTTCCTGGGCCTCTTCACATTCTGTCACCTCTGTCAGAATCTGAAGTTCAAAAAAATGAACTTGTAAATAAGCATTTTGCTTTTCTGCTACAGTAGAACAGTAAAAGAAAGCCTTAGGGCTTCAATGCATGCTTGTAAATATACAGGCAAAAGATAGGGTGATCAAAACATGGATTTCAAAAGCTGGAGAGTACACTGGATTGTTCTTTACACCCAATAACTAAGAATGTTACAAAGTAACTTATTCATAATTTATACAGGCTTCAGGATCAGACATTTCTTGACACCTTTTTGAAGGACATACTACACACAACTTGTAAATGTTGTTACCTTTTGATCATCGCATAAAGCACTATAGCCTTTTCATATAAAACGCTTTTCAAAAGCACAAAATACCAACATAAACTTCCAAAAGCAGCAGGTAAATATTTACAATACAAAGACTCAATGATACATAAAGTCACCTCTTTCTCTGGAAGTTCTGTTTTTCCTTCTGGGTTTCCCTGTGCATCATCATATTTCTGTTTTCTACGCCTTTTAGTCACCATGGACTCGTTTACAAGCCTTTGACTGCTGTCCAGCTCATCTGTATCTGTAGATAAGCCTCTTTTGTTTACCTGTACCAAGTAAATTGGACCACATCATTCTTATTTCCAAATTATTTGTAAACATTGAAGAAGCAACATGGGGAGATTTTCCCACCTAGCTGAAAATCAATCACTTATTTGGTGATTTCAGAAAATGGCTTACAGTTTATACCCCAAGAATAATTCTGGTAAAAATCAGGTGAGAATCACTTCTGTGCCAGCATATGCATAATTAACAAGTGAGCAGGGTGTTTTAAAGGCAATGAAAAACACAGAAATTGATAGGCAAAATATATTTTGTGCTTACCATACTTCCATTTTCCTTTACTGTTGCAAGGAAGTGCTGCTTCAACAAATGTAACAACTTGTCTGCCTACAAAACAGTTAAAGCATAATGTGAGATCAGTGTACACAAGGTTTCATTTCACCAGGTTTTTTTCATATAAAATTAGAGAATACACCATTGTAAGTCACTTTAAATTAAATAGACATGCCATGATAGATTATACTGATAGATTATATTGAGTAATAAGAATGGGCAGTCTTTTCAAGTTGGTAAAACATTAGGTATAGAAATAGGTTACATAGTCTTTCACTGTTATATGGTTCAGCTAACAGAATTGGGAAATTTGAATTTGAGAAAGAGGAACATACTGGGTGCTCCTAGGAAAGGATATTTAATATCACAAAGAAGTCATTCAGACCAGATTTTTCTGTGTCTTTGGCACATTAGCTTCCATACACTGTTTTTGTAGTGATAACATTCACTGCTGTTCCACCACTTGCTGTTCACACCTGCAGGCAGAACTTGATGGAAAGTATGTGGGCTATTCTTCTCTGACCCATCATGGACTCAGGGCACTTGAATATCCTTGGGGAGTTGGACAGCAAAAGCCAACCCCCAATTTGTATACAAAGGGGTGCAACGGGTAAGCCCTGATCCCACAATAAAGCCATCTAAAAGCACTCGCTACAAAGCTGGTGCCAGTTGGTGTTTGTTTGCGGCCAGTTAAATGCACCACAGGAAAGCAATCTAGAAAAGATCGCCCTCTGGCATAATTATTTTGAGTAGGGCGCCCATTTCAAATTGACTAGGCAACTTGAGCGGGCACAGTTCATATGGACTAGTGCCTCCGATGTACAGTGGAACCTCGGGTAGCGAATGCGATCCATGCACGTTCGCAACCCACAGTGCCGCGTCGGTGCATGTGCGGGTCGCGATTTAACGTTTCAGCTGATAGAATTGTATTGAACAAACTTTGTTGCATTATATTCTTCATTAAATTATCTTTCCATTGATACATAATTTTATGGTATTGCTCCAAAAAAAGGTGGTGTTATGAGCGGTCAAACCTCAGAAATATACTTTCCCCAATTTTGGCCACTAGTGTTTGCAGGGCCAGATTTAGGTTTGATGAGGCCCTAAGCAACTGAAGGTAAGGGGGGGCCTTTATATGTCCAGCTGTCCTTTGTCAACAACAAATTGTAGCTGTTTTTTATGTTGAATATATTCTATATGGTAATTTAGGAACCTAATTGGTTCATACACAACACAAAACACTGTTGCTGTATGTAGGTTTTATTTTATTTGGTTATTTATCTTATATTTTGGAAATCCAAGTTTTTTTCCTTTCATTTCTTTTAGGGAGGGGCCCAAGAGAGTGGGGCCCTAAGCTATAGCTTGTGTCAAGTTAATTAGCTCGTCCTGGGCGCGCGAGCTCCTCTGAGGCTCACAAGGCAAGTTAGACGGCTAAAGAACGGCGGCCATGTGGTTGAGGGCCGAAAACGACGCTCGTTCCGAAAAACGGCCCTCTCACGCTTCGCCTCGCCCGCACCCAGTCGCCCCTCCCCAGCCCCAACGCCGCTTCACTGCGCGCAGCCCCCGCACCTTCAGGTTGGCCTTCAGCCCCGCGCTCTTGGCCAGGCGCCTCAGCTCGCCGTACTTGAGCGCCTCCAGCTGCTGCGCGGAAGGAGCCTCCATGCTCGCCTCTATCCAACCGACCGTTCCAACCGCCGCACTTCAAACCCGCCCGCTCAGCGCTCGCCGCCTTTCCTCCCCGCCGCGCTGCCTTCGAAATCACCTCTCGCGCCGTCTCATTGGTCGAGCCGCAAGCGAAAGTGGGTGGTGCTCGGAGGCGGCTCCTAGCCAATAGGAACCCCGGATAAATAAATAAATAATTAAAAACAAACAAACAAACAAACAAACTACACCACCGTTTCGTTTCCTTGTTTCGAAAAGGCGCGAAGGCTTCTCCGGCTCTCCACACGCTCCGAGGTAAAACAAAAGCGCCCTTTGGGTGGAAAACGCGATTGGTTGGGGAAAGCTTGATGAGTAAGAGCGGCACCCAATCGGAGGGGGGAAAGCCTGCTAGCGTCATGAGGGACTGCCCCAATAGGGGCCCCAGGGGTGGGGACTAGGTTTGAAAAGTTGGCGGGAAGCAACATGGCCGTGCGGCGGCAGCTGGAGCTTTTCTTCCAGGAGCCCCGACTGGGAGGCGTGATCAGGGTGGATCGGGCGGAACCCGGGACGAAGAGCTGCCGCCATGGTCAGCAAAGCGCAAAGCCTCCGGAGAACCCCGGGGAGCGGGTTCCGGGCTCCCGGAGACTCAGGCTGGAGGACTGCGTGCTCTACCAGTGCCGCGGTTGCCGTTCGGTGCTGGGCGACTCGCTTCATCTCTGCGCCCAGGAGGAGAAGCTCCGCCTTCTCGTTTGCTTCAGTGAGTGGGTCACACTCTTTTGAGTGTTGGGTTGGCAGCCTCGGAGCGAAAAGGGAAAGGCGCTTTCTTTTCTTTAGAAAAAGAAAAGGCGCGAACTTTCGAGCTACACCGGGCTCTTCATCAATCAGGCTGCACAGATGTTCAAATAAATACACGCAGGATTATTGTCGCACGTGGCAATGTACACGGGTTATCATTACACCTGTTACATTCGTGTAGGGGTCGTGCGAAGCTCAAAACATGGAATTTAAAAGATTTGAGCCGATGGTCTCAAAACTCCCCCCCCCCCCACTGGCCACTTGAAAAATGTTGTTGGTTGTGGCTCATGATTTTTGTGATGTCTTCTGCCAGGTGCTTTTTGATTTTGATTGCTTTCATTTCTTATGCTGTATTTTCTTGTAATTCAAACTGAAATATAATGCATAAGAAAGAAAAGCAATAAAAATACATTTAAAAAACAAAAATAAAAATGTAGTCCCATGAGACCTTGCCAGTATTGGCAGCAGTAGATATATATATATAGAGAGAGAGAGAGAGAGACCCTACAGGGTTGGCCAAGCATGAATGTGGACTGCAGGCCATACATGTCACTCCACTTGCCCTTATTCCCACAACCATTCTGAGGCTGGGAAGGCCACATTCACACACTAAACCAATTAAGTGTGATGTGAATAAGCTGTGGAGAGCCTTCTGTTGGGGGTGATTCCCGCCTCTTCCCCTCATGTGACAAAGCCATGAGGAGTTCGGAAGGTTTCATTTCCAAACCAATAAACTGGTTAATCTTAACTGATGTTAAATAAATCAACAACAAGCCATGATCTAAATAAAGAATGGTGTGAATTCCAAAGTACAGCATTAATTTTTATCATAACAGGAATCCACTTTTGCAATCTTCAGTGAGAGTCCCTTTTCTACTATGATTTCTGAAAGTGACATTTTTAATTTAGATCTTAGCTTGTGTAAAATGCTTCAGTAATTTAAATATGCCTGTAATAATATATATTAAACCTAAAGTGCATGTTGCAGTGATTCTAGCAGTAGATGTCTCTTATTTTTCAAGCATGAAGATAGTCTTGTTTCTATGAGATCTATTTGAATAATTTACAGGTGTCCTAACAGGTCCCTGTATAAATATTAAATGAAATAAAGTGTTTGAATGTAATGCACTGATGAATGCTTAGCTTTATTCAATCTGCAAAAGCTCTGCTTCTCTTTTCAGAGGTTACAAATGATGTTGTAGTGGAAGATAACTTGATGGTCTGTATTGAGGGGGACCTCAAAGGATGGTGAGTTGTAGTTTTTTTAATTAAAATTTACTACATCAGATGCTTAGAAGAGCAAGAATATCTTGGAACCCTATGCCACCTTTTTGTTTTAATTGCATGTGACTTGGGGAAGGTGGCTAATGAAATAAATAATACTTTATTTGCCAGACTTGGTTTTTTAGTACTTTTTCAAAATAAAATGCCTGGCTTAAGTAAATGTTTATTTCATTCCCAGTGAGCATCCTTTGTCTCCGAGAAATGGCTCTTTTTGCATCTCTTCTTTCCTTTGTTTCCTGGGGCGGGTATCCTGGGGTCCTAGAAGAGTATAGATAGAGAAAGATCTGGGCAGAGAAGGGTTTCTGCCTTCTCTAGCTTTCTGACTGTGGAAACAATAAGATGTTATGGGAACCAGTGAAAGAAGAAATTCGGAAACATCCTCCTTGTTCCCCACCCCAATTTTCTGCCTACCAGCTCAGCAGAGCTTTCAGTTTGGTTTTTCATCCACCTTGGATTCTCCCACCACTGCCCCCATAGGACTTCTTTGTAAATATTTTGGATGAATGCAGCATCTTTTGTTTAAGGATGCATATTCTGTAGTAAGGAAACCATGCTGCATTCTTTTCACAAGGAATATGTTCATACAGGCTTTTGCAACACCCCTCTCCCCTGTAAATTTGGAAGCTATATACCAAGCTAGGCAAACTTGGCCCTCCAGATGTTTTTTGGCCTACAACTCCCATGATCCCTAGCTAGCAGGACCAGTGGTCAGGGATGATGGGAATTGTAGTCCCAAATCATCTGGAGGGCCGAGTTTGCCTATGCCCGCTATCTACTAATGGAAAGATGCATACTCTAAATCTGGTTTTTATAACTGAATAATTCTGGATTTTCTAGGGCAAATTCCAAAAATGTTGCTTATGGTGGCTGAAGCCCCTAGTTTGGTCATAAAGCAGATTATGGAATGCTGACTTCACACCTGGTCTTTTCCCCCCAGCACCTACAACATGTTGTACTGTCGAGAATGTAAAGCGGGAATAGGTTTCAGACTCTATTGTTCAAAACCTCTGGCTCACCTGCGAGGCTTCTTTTGCCTTTTGAAGGACAACATCATATGGTTAGTGTCCAGATGCATATTGAACTGATCGGATGGTTAAGTCATGCGGATAAACTCCAGTAAAACGAAGGGTAACAAACTGACACATACAAGACATCCTGTATAAGTTTATATATGGTTTCATAAAAAGGCATGCAAAGGATTAAAAGAGATACTGGCTGATGGCATCATTTGTAGACACTATGCTGTGGTAGTTACAGCAGCACAACATGTAGCTAATGTTTGGGTAGAAGCAGGCGTACAACTGAAGCAGAATACAACTGAAAATAACTATTCCAATAGTAACACCATGCTGTTATGAGAGCTGATCTAAAACTAATTTTCCAGTGGGAATAAAAGTTTAGGAGATTTATTCAATTAGCCACTGGAAAGTACCATTCATATTTTCTGGATCTTAAGGGTGATTTCACTTAATTGTTCCCCCCCCCCTTTTATCCCATCACCTCTACAAAGAGCTCAGGGGACTGCTTCCCTTCCAGTTTAGATTCCCAACAGCCCAGTATTATATGGTTAGTGGGAAGTACAGGTCCAAAGTCACCCAGTGAGCTTCACAGCTGATGTGGGATTTGAATAGCCTTGCTATTACGCTAAACAATGATCATGCAGTCTTGTGTCTTGACTTGTGAATGAGAAACCGTATTGTCACAGCTCAAGACGGTGCTTTTCAGTGGATGACATTTACTTTTTGATTGACTGCTTAAGTATTACTTCATGATAAGGCATTGACCTTTGAATATGCTGTGTGAAAGGGCTTAAAACTTGGCTATAAAATAGAAGTGATCTAAGACCACAAAAGTTTAGCCTACTTGAGGAAGGGACAGGAGAGGCGAGAAGTTATTTTCTTGAAAATAAAATAAGTGTTGTATGTTGAATAATTAGGTCCTTCAAAATACATTGTTAAGAATCTGAAATGTACTGCAGTATGAGATTGTGGAAACCTATTAATTTCAGGAGATTATATCACGTTAGGATATAATCATTGAAATCAGGATGCTGGCAAAATACTATTACATGGTTATTATTAATAATCTTCACTTTTGAATATTTAGATTTCTCTTGCTGGAGTAGACATAAAATGTTGAAAAAAGTGAACACAATATTCTGAAAAATTGCAATATAAGTTATGTTTATCTTCTCCTTTATTCATACATTCCTATGACTGATCAGCTAATTTCAAAATGTATTGTCTTTTAACCTGTTTTTCAGTTACTTGTTAAAAACTAAAACCACAATTGAAGCCTCAAAGATGACCTGTCCTCCTGTGAGCCTAAAGGAACAAGTACAGAAAGTAAGTGTTCTTCTGATTTTGTGTTTGTTAACTACTGTTTTCCCCTTCTCACAGGGGAACTGGGCAGATAAAAATGTGACTAATGTACAAAAATATGTACCATTACAAAACATGTTAAGTGCTCTTATCAGCTTTGCAACCCTTGCAACAGAGAGCGTCTAGTGAACTTTTTTAGGCTGCTATCCTAACCCCATTCACCTGGGAGTATAAGGCCCACTAAAATCACTGATTCAATATGACTTACTTATGAGCAGACATACATAGAATTGTGCTGATAGTCTTTGACAGGGCAGAATTTGAACCTGGGTTTCTCTTATAGACTGTTGCACAATATACTAAACTGAGGTTTAAAATGAGTAGTCAGAGCAGTCTTTCAGACATTTATGGAACATAGAAACACAGGCTCTTTTCTAGTAATGATAATGGGCACAAACTGTTTTGAGGCTTGGCAAACCAAAGGCAACCCTCCAAGTCTGTGAAATAGAAAAAATAGCTCCCAGGCACACTTAGCTAACACCGGTTGTTCTTTCAAGCACATGGTTGTATGAAAATAGGATGCTCTAGTTAGTTTCCAGAAAATATTTATACTTTAAACTAGTAAATATTAACATTTTTCAGTTTAAATTATAAATATTTTCTGGAAACTAACTACAGCATCCTGTTTTCATAAACAAGCTTTTCAAAACAAGCAGTCCATAAAATTGAGCTTAATGCAGTCCTTTGCTCATTTAAACCAAAGAGCACATGAACACATTTGGCAGCCGAATACCAAAGGCAAATATGGTATACTCCACTAATAAGATATTCAGAGAGTGTGTCCTCACTTTATCTGAGACAAATAGGAGCTGCTCCAGCTTCACTTTCCTGTGCCACTCGAGGAAACAGGAGAATTCCTGTGCTATAAAAGAGGACTCCACAGCACGGCTTCTTCCTGCATTAATGTTGCCCCAGTTCTGGTAGGAACTGCATTGCGGACTCCTCTCACATATTCTGAGGCTTCTGCCATTACCCAAATGCCAAATGAAATAGCTGCTGCAGTGGATTCTGTGCAGTTGGAGAGGTTTGGAACAGGCCCTGTACAGCTTCATTGTTTCTTTAGATCAAGTAGAACTGTTTAAATCAGGGATGAGCAACCCTTGGCCATGCTAGCAAACAGCTATGGTGGGCCATAGGGGACCTATTGAGTTTAAATCTTCCCAAGTATGATTAAGTGTCAGACTACACAGCTGACAGTACCGGCTTTCATCTGAGGCCAGTGAGGTGGGCTAAAAGGTGAGGAGCAAGTGGAACCAAATTTGCACATGACAAACTGTCTTACACGATTCTTGAAGGATTGGTTGTCAGCATGCTGGGTTCATGCCAATCAAGTTTGGAGAGCTATCAGGAAGGAGCGCTCAGCTGCCCTAGTCACTTTCCCAAGATACATGAGAGATACCCTGAACAAGGACTTCTGCTTGTGCACTGGGGTTCCTCCCTCCTTCCCCTGTGCCCTCTATAATTGGGTCAAGGGGGTGTTTGGTTGAGAGAACACCCAAAACAGGTAAAGGGGATTGATTCATCTAGCAAGCCAAAATGCTTGACCCGACAGAATAGCCTTGGTGCAATGTTGATTTTCTCCCACACCTTTAATAGAGATGCCTCTCAAATGCATAGTTACAAGGTGTGTCGCTGGACTTAAAATATTGGACAATTTTTTGTTCTCACTGACAAAGATTTGGCTGATATAATTGGTTTTCTGCATCACTTCATTTTATCTAAAGCTTGGGGATTAATTTTTTTTGTAGCTAAAGGAGAGCCTTGTTTTAGCGCACATACGGATAGAACAGTTGATTGAGAAACTCGAAGAAAGAAACCAGCAGAAGTTGATGTCTGAAAAGCAGGTCTACAAAGCAAGACTACATGGCCAAGCATCTGGGGGAACAAGGAAGAAGTTGAACAACTAACTGGTAGAATTTCTGCAGTCACATATCTGCATTTGGCTGTGATGAACATGGTTGTACTTGTCTTCACACAACCACTGTTTTGGTTGTACAGTATTTGAAAATGGCAGTGTGTCTTGGACTGGCAAATGGATTGCACAAAGCATATGAACTGCTATATTTTTATATGTGCACACACAGTTCTGCCTGGATTTTTTTGGAATTGTTGCATCTGTTAATACTATCCTAAATTATACAGTGAATGCATTTGCAGCCTCTGTTTAGAGGAAATGTACAGCTTGTAGTTTGTTGGTGGCTTCAATTCAGCATTTTATTTTAAATTTGGCTTGAGACAGTTCAGTCTACCCAGTAACCTGTTGTGTAAACTAAAAGTGTCAATTTAAAAACTATTAAAATTTCATCAAACTTGAATTCTTAACTGTAACACCAGTTGAATTCTATGCTAACAACAGGGTTTTTAAAATGCTGCCTAAACTACCAAAGGTGGAGCATAGGTTAGGAAACTTGTACAGATGTGAGGCAGCCTACATAAAGGCTTTTCTGTCTCTCTTATTAACTTAATGAATTGCTTCCTATGAAACATCTCAAAGCAATTTAACAATAAAAACAATTTCAAGTCCAATGTAAGAATGTGCATTGCAGTGCTGTTTAAATGGTGTAGACACAAATTTGACAGAATGGACTGATCGGTTAGCTTATGTTTGATGGCGCTGCTTTCCTATTCGTTTCACCACCTGATAAGTTTTCAGAAAAAAACTTAAAGCCCTGTACAATGGTACCTCGGGTTAAGTACTTAACTTGTTCCAGAGGGCTGTTCTTAACCTGAAGCACCACTTTAGCTAATGGGGCCTCCCGCTGCACCGCCGGAGCACAATTTCTGTTTTCATCCTGAAGCAAAGTTCTTAACCCGAGGTAATATTTCTGGGTTAGTGGAGTCTGTAACCTGAAGCGTCTGTAACCCGAGGTACCACTGTATTGGGAAGAGGAGGGAGAAGAGGCACTGCAAAACATATGACAACCAATCACATAATTGTTGAGAAATACATGAGAGTATGAAGTGGCTCATATGTGCTAAAAAGCTGCTGGGGTTTCACCGCAATCATATAAGCTTGCAAGGATTAAACATTTTTCTCCTGCTCCACAATGAAGGCAAACTGAAATATGTGAACCTACATTTCTATCATTTCAAGAGTTCGTCCTAGAAGAAATGACACAATGGCATTTTAAGTGCATTCTCAGCCCATGCTGCTTTATTGCTAAAAAATTGTATACAGGTGCAGAGTTTCCAGTTTCAGTTTTGAACAATTATTGTTTACAGTGTCAAAAGAATAATTTTAACACCCTCTTTCCCTCCCCAAAAGATGCATAGATATAAAAGCAAGCTGCCTTTTGGAATTCTTCAGATATATACAGGGGTAGATTTGTGGTATTTGTTACATAATTGTGCAATGGGAGTAAATAGTTTGCAGTGGCATATACCTTCCTTGTCTGTTCTGCTTGTTCAAGTGAGTTAACAAAATGTCAGCCTACTTCTAAAATTTATACAATGTTTCTGTACATTTTCCCAGACTCTAGCTTTCACAATCCTTTTATTATGATCAGTTATCCTATGCATTTGCAAAGACAATCTTTTCTTTGCTCTGAAAGAAGAAATTAATTAGCAGAGCCCTAAATCACAACCTACAAGAGGGACAGAGTTTGGGAAAAACAATTCAATGATACAATACTATGGAGTCTTTTCATGTTAACATGAAATCAGAGGGGAAGTCAAACTGATGTCATTACAAGCCTTCACTCACGTCTCCAATATTCATACATCTATTTGGCAGCTACTAATTACTGAGACTGGCAACGCAAAAAATATGGCCTCTACAACAAGCTTAAAATAAATGATTGGGAAAATAACCACTAACATAAAATGCAGATTTGCCATAACAAATCCTTTTTCAGATCTATGAGAAAGCAAACTTTGATATGAAGAAGTGTTTGTAACTTGCTCTGCAGAAACTAGTATAGCCGTAATCTAGTTAAGGAACTTTAAACTCAGTGTTTATTTTAAGCAGCACCTTCACATTAGGAAAATAATTTTCTAGTCCAGGTTTAGATACAAGGGCTATGCTTCTACCATCCTCTACTTAATATTTAATATGTATTCGGCATATATATTCTACCATTAAATGCACCCACTTTTTACTTTTTTTGTAACTAAACCAATAATTTTTATGGGGGTGCCATTTACTCTCTTGAATCTAGTTAGCAAGCTCCACTCCTACTTAGCAAGCTTTAACTTGCTTTGTGTCTAAAGCAAAACTTTGCCATTTTCAGATTAGTTATTGTAAGGTATATTAATGCTGGTCTGAAACCAGTTCATCTTGGTATAGCTGCCTAACAGGGTGAGAGATACCTGGTGAGGAGAACCTGTCATTTAAACTCAGTACCTGAAGAGTAAGGACTGCTTAATGATTTCATCCACCTAAATTCTCATTTATTTGCAGCCAACAGGTTGTGATCCAGGTTCCTTCCTTCACGTTACCTGAAAATTCCTACTACATACAACATTTTGCTATTGCCCTATTTGGGGTTCATCTAGTGCCTTCTCTGTACTCTGAAACTCCGCACCTTTTTTATTTGTACAATTGCAGCAGCCAAGAAACCCATCTTACCACCAACCATGCTCATATTATGTAGGCTCAAGGGAACACAATGAACCTGGTAAGAGGTCAAAAGGGCTCATTCTGCTGATTCTTCTTTCAAATACACAGTTTTGGTGTCATGCTTCTCTTATTTGTACATTCTGCCTCCTTTAAAGAGAGAATGTTCTCTAAAATCAAAATCTGAGAATCAAAGCAGTAAGTTCAAGCTATTGGTATATTAGTTCCTATTGCTTCATTATGTATAAATGCATATATCAATTTACTGGTAATAACTATAACACTAGACATCTTAATCATGCATAATTAGAATACTACCTCTATAAAAGACTTGGTTTGTGAGCCTATGTGCTTGTGCCATTGTCAATTTTCCATGTATGTTTTCCATACTTGAGTTTCACAACCTCATCTGCCTTCCAAGGGTTTGTCAAAGATGGCAGAGGACAGATAAGTTGCAACTATTTAGATGCTAAACTCTGTGGAATGTTCATTGTGCTGTAATTTGGGAAAGTTGACAATTCCATCTAAAACCAACTAGCAAGTGATCAAACTCGAATGCTTTCATCCTGCCCCCCCCCCTTCAGATAGAACCAATTTCCAGCTCTAAACCTGCTTCCTTCTCATCTAGTTATGTAGGAAATCTTCACCTTGGGGCATTCTCCCCTGCCCCATCACAGGACATATTCTCATTCTCTAGTATTTTGTTTTCCACATTCCTGTCATAAGAGTCCATTCATACAAATGAGTTCTTTGTTCAGCAGAGACCCTATTAAGCTTTTATTCCTGCAGTCTTTGGGGAGCACCACTTAGCTGACCATTCCTCTACATTTCAGGGCAGGGAGAACTCATTGCCTTTCTGTGTACAGGGTGAGGGCATAAACTCCTTGTCCTTCCTCCACCCCCACCCTCAATCTCCAAGTACTTAATAAAGCATGGTACAAAAATTCAGTTCAGCTTAGGCCTCCAAATCCTGTTGCAAAGATCCAACGCTACCACTTGCAAACTTACCATCTATATCCCAGAAGCCTGTTTGGAAAATACATTTATTGGCACCCATGTATTGTGCTTGGACTTCTACTGCTCAATAATTACTGTTCTTCAAAGTGCAAAGCAAGAATAAAAGGGAGAAGTCAAGTAAGGGGGATTTTATCATAAAAACTAGTGCACATGAGAATAGAGACAGACTATTAAAGAAGAGCCCCCTGCAACCATTCATAAAGAATGGCACTAATATACTTAGAATGAAATCCTGTTCTCCACTGATAGAATAAAGGCTGTTAGGAGAATAAATGGAAGGCGAAGTGGTGGTGTATACACCATGTATACCCCAAGTGCTGCTTATGTGCCATGAAAGAGCCACTTCATAGAAAGATCTTTCCCCTCATTAACTGCTTATGGAAACAAATTTCAGTGCTAAACCTTCAGGAGTTTAAATACCACAACTACTGAGGTGCAAACTGCTTAAGTGCAATTTGTTGAAGCCGCCTCTCACAGGTGTCCTCCAGCTGTTTTGGACGTGCTGCTGGGGTTGATGGGACCTACAGCACAAAGCATCTGGAGGGCACCAGGCTGGCAAAGGCTGCTCTGGAGAGTAACAGAACCCCTCATTTCTATAGATCTAGGCAGCAAAGCTCTCCATTATGAGGTTATGCAAGATAGCCAAGCATCTTCAAACAGTTAACCACATCCTAAATGTTTCTGACTAAGCACCACAACAGCAAATCCTGCATGTATGAAGCTCACACACTTATCCAGATACCAAGCTAAAAAGTTCATTATTTATTAAATTGGGTAGCAGCAGCACTATGTCAGTCAAGCACCAGTTTTGCAAATTGAAAAGTATCTGCAAACCAGCAACTCAAAATAAATTTAGAGCAAAGCAAGTCCTACTGGTGGCATAGCTGTGATATGCCTTTCAGATTCTGCCAATTTGCTCAGAATGGTTAACAAAGTGCAAATTTCCTTAGCCCTAGAATCATGTTTGTTTGAAAACAGTAAAAAGTGCCTTGTATATTTTGTGATGTGAACAAAATAGTCACAGGTTTTTGTTGACTATTTTTTCACATATAAAGGACAGTCTCCTTGATTCAGATTTCAAACATTATTTTGGAAACCATTAGTAAAGCTCATATTACAGAATGAATATATAGGGGTCGTTCTGTACAGAATATATATCTACTTTTAAAATATGGGCTTCTTCCATCCACTTGAACACGTGGCTGTGTTAATCAGACTGATGATAGATACTGGCTACCCTCTGGCCATATTCTGCTTATGGAAGGCTGTTTAGTACAGTGGAGCCATCAGTGGAAAAAGGGTTGAGGCACTCTTCAGTGATTCCTCCTTCCCACTCAAATCTGACCTGGAGAATTGGTGGGCCCTTTGAACAGTATGGGCAGCTGTTGAGGGAAGGGGAACTACCCAAAATAGCCTTGATCCCTATTCAAAAGCCTTTTATTGGCAGAAACACACCAGCTGGGATATAACTCCTTGCAATTAAGGAAAACAATAAAGGTAAAGCCTTCAAGTATACATCCCAACCTTGTAGATGAATCTGTTCTACTTCAGCGGAATCCTGTTTAAGGCAGAGTTACATATTAGGCTTACAGTTTACATGGTCTTACATGCATACTAGGTTAGTGCAAGTTGCATTTTAAAGAGGTATGAACTGCACTCTATAGAGTGGTGAGGGTAAGATTGCCAGGCATACCCATCTAGAATAGAAGCTTCCAAACTCAAAAGTAGCTTTTATAATTAAGAGTGAAACCACGTAACAGGCGTACAAGTTTTTAAAAGGTTTTTTAAAGAGAAAAATAACATTTTCAGGAGACACAACACTTGCTAGGTGCTAGGATGCTTTGTACCTTGCCAACATACCTCAAAAATTTGACACATCTAACGAGCTTTAGGTAATGGCAACAAGTTTCCACAATCAAATCTAAATTGCATGTTTAGGTTGAACCTGGCCCTG